TTTGTTAAGCAAACGTTCTCTTTCATCTTCAGAAGACTTCTAAAAACCAAAGTCATGAAATACCAATCTTTACAAATAGAACTTCTTGGAGGGAAAAAACCCCAAATTAAAATTGGGTCCAACAGGCCCTGATGGTGTACTAAAGGTTAAAGCACATTAACAGATTGGGTCACTTCCTAAAGACTTTCAAAATGTGGTTCACTGGAACTCCACCCCACAAAGAGACTCTTCCTTCATCCACTTGAGATCCAGCAGCTTTCAGACTGAAGTTGCAGCCCGGCCAAGGAGAGTCCCACATAGTGCAGCACGACCATGCCTGCCTCCGGGTCCAACCAGCACTGGCCATGGAAACCAAGCAGCCCTCTCCCAGGGACATTTTCTCCTGGAGTTTGTCTCAGCATACTGTGAGGAAGCAAAAATTGTGACCCAAGAAAAACAGAGCAGACTTCTGGGATACTATTCAGGCCTCCGAGCAAGGCACTGGCAAAACTCAGACCACAATCAGATGCCCAATGTTTACTGCTTTATATTCTCCCCAGTAAGTGGGTTTATTGTGAGGGATACAGTGTTACTATTCTCTTGGGTTTCTCAAAAATTCTTTTTTACCTTTGTATTTCCAGTCAGTTCATGTTGGTCTGACTACTGATCTATGACAGAAAGGAAATGCCCAATTCACAAAAGTGTTGTGTTCCAACACTTTGAAAATTGGTTGTTTTGGGAACTCAGAACAGATTTTCCTCTATAAACAGTATTAGACGTGATAGGTGGGCTTCCAGGCCAGTCCCACAAAATCCTTCTTAATTCATAACACTGTTGAAGCCCTGAAGTTTTATGATATAAATTAGTAGAGAGCAATCTGGTTGTAGTACTCATAAACAAACCCAAATCCTGAAGACATCGTGTCCTTTATCCTGAATTCTTTTTTTGTGTGTGTGTGAATTGGAGTCTCACTCTGTTGCCCAGGTTGGAGTGCAGGGGCACGCTCACGGCCACCGCAGCCTCGACCTGCTAGGCTCAGGGGATCCTTCCGCCTCAGCCCTCCAAGTAGCTGGAACCACAGGCTAGTGCCACCACGACCGGCTAATTTTTTGATTTATTGTAGAGATGAAGTCTCACCACGTTGTTCAGGCTGGTCTCCAACCCCTGAGCTCAGGCAACCCTCTAGCCTCCGGTTCCCAAAGTGCTGGGATCACAGGCTTGAAACACCGCGCCCGGCCTCTTTATCCTGAATTCTAATGAAACAACCAACTTAATGAACAAAGATGAAAGATGGAGACTTTGGGAGGAGAGACCGCTGCTTGCAAGAATTTGGGAGGCCCGACAGCAGCCGCTTGTCGTTTTGTCCCTCCGGCTTCACCCTGATAGCTTTTTCCGTTTTCTTTCATGTGGGCGTGACGCAGGGAGCCATGATTGGAGTAGACGGAGGCTTAGGGAGGCGCACAGCAAAGGATGGGGGAGGGAGAGGGAAAATAAAAGTTTGTAAGAGATTTCCCTGATGGGGAGATTAAATCATGTCGTTGAGAGGAGAAGACTGTGTAAATCGCCATTAACTGATTGGCTAAGGAAACTGGGGAGAAAACAGGAGACCCAGTGTTGGACACAGGAATCTGTACTGTTTGGTCAGACAGTTCACCCTCTTACCAGAAGGTGGCGCCATCAGCCCAGACAGTCTGTCCCGAGGGGGCGGGGCGTGCAGTGGGCGGAGCTCCTCACGTGTAAGCCATGTTCTCCACTCAGCTCTGGAACTCACCGACAGCCTGGACCCGACGGCATGTGTCCCCATACACGTCCGTGCCTCCGTACCCAAGAACTGTGCCCGTCCTCTAAGGCCCCACCGGCTCACACCTGAGCAGGAACACCGCTGTCCTGCTGGGCATCACCGCCCGCGGAAGAGTCCGACTAATTCCTTCCCACTCCTCTTTCTCAACAATGGCAGCACTGGGTCCCGAATTCCTAAAAAGAAACTAGTCTAGGAGTCTCCTACACTCTCATCCTTACACAGCATCAGGATGAGAGAACAAGATCTTCCATGATAAGCACAGATTTTTCACAAAGGGCCCAGCATTAACAACATGCCCCTGCTGACCTCTCCAGCTTAAAGCCCCCCTTTTGCTGGAATTTCTGATACAAATCCCACTGTTACCCCGGCTGAGCACTACCCCTGCCTGTCCCCCACGTGCCACCACGCCCACTCTCCCATCTTTAATATCCTCCCCCATCTTTCAAGGTCTAATCCAAATACTCCCTCCCCAAAACCTGCTCACTAAGTAGTGACCGCATGTAACTGGTGAAGTAGACTTAGAGAGGAAAACGTGGGTCTCGGGCATCAACCACAGAAGTCCCTGGATAACACAAGCAGGCCGTGTCTGCCCCTCCGTGACTACATAGATCTTAAACTGGGAAGGAGGGTCCTGCCTGGCTCTCTGCTGAATCTCAGGGCAGCACTAGCTGGTCTGTACAAGAGACCCCTCCAATCTCAATTACCACCTAGGGCAAGAGCTTGGTGTGCAGCACAGTATCTGTTCTCAACTGGTGTTAGCTTTACAGTAATCATGATTACTATTACTGTCTCCTCCCCACCCTACCCTCATCAGCCGCAGTCTGCCAAACTAGGCCTGAATTCTAGAGATAAAGGAATCAGCTGGGAGCCACAATAACTCCCTGGTCTGAGCTCCAGCCCCACTCCTTCCCCGGGGCCTGTGGCCTAGACTGGTTGTCCCAGCAAACTGCCTAGTGATTCTGCAGGGAAACTTTCACTGCTCTGGTGGTGACATTCCTGGTCACAGCTCTGGTATAGACATTCCTGGATGCTGTGGCCTTGGCTAAATAGCCCAGAGATAGACCCTTGAGAACCAGTGCCTGTGTTTATAACCCCTCCATTCTAGCTAGTATGCCATCATTTAGTTCTAAGGAGGCAGCTGGCTCAGTGGGAATCATCCCCTTTGTCAGGCTGGAGCAAATAGCCTCAAGATGAACTTTTAGGTCTTCTGAGGGCAGCCCTAGGCCCCGTGGGAACAAAAGGTTATGCCTAGCCAAAGGCAGGGGAGGCAGGAGCTGGCCCTGTCTGCCTGGCTTCTGCTCTAAGTGCCCTCAGAGGCCTGTACACTCTTCTCCATCTGGCAAAGGTGGGCTTTGCCACCACCACCCCCCCCAGCTCTCCTCAAAAAACCAGGTGACTGATGCCTTTTTAATGTCAATATTGCTCATGGAAAGAAAGCCTACCCAGCTCTACCTATAAGCAGGAGTGGGACCAAATGGCCACTTGGCTTCAGGAAATCCAGGGACTTACAGAGTTAGTTAGGAGAGGCCAGAGCGCTGCTGGTTGTTTGTTTTGTTTTTAAGTATCTACAGGAGGTGGTTTTTCATAAACTAATAAAGGAAGCTTAGTTAACTATGCAAACAAAAGCAGAGTGGGCAGTGGGAGCGGCCATTTTCATGTACTTGTACCGCCACCTTCCACAAAAGATCGGAGCTGCGGGCAGTCATCGCTATTGGGATCGAGGGCAGGAGCTGTCAGTTTCTCACCACCGCTGCAGACTAGGACCTTCGAAGTGGCTATTTATTAGGACTTCTGAAAGTCGGGCAGGGACGGTGGGCAGCGGCTCCCTGGCGCTCTAGACCCGGGAAAGCCCACTTCGAAGGCACCCTCCCCACCCCCTCCTCTCCTTCCTCCCGACTCAGGACCGCTCAACGCGCCGGACAGCTGCGGCCAGCGGCGGCCACCCCGGGCCCCCGCCTCCGCCTTCCCCCCGCCCGCGTGCAGCCGGGTCCTGGGGAAGGGAAGCTCTGGAAGCCGCGGCCAGAGGATACCCTACCCGCGTGTCTCCGCCCCCCCTCCCCCCGCCGTGTCACATGGCAGCCCCAACTCGGCGGGCGGTGCGCCCCGCCGCGGAGACCCTGGGCCTCTTCGCCGCGGGCAGTGAGTGAGGAAACGTCCCAGGCGCGTTACCGCAGCGGGCGCGGGCGGGGAGCGGGGCGGAGGAGGGGGCGAGGCTGCTACCCGGGCTCACCTGTTCTCCCGGAGAAGGGTGGGGACTCGGGGGAGGGGCGAGGGCGCACCGACCCGGGGTGCGTGCCCCCGGGCGCTCGGTCACGGCGCTGGGGTCCCCGCCCCCTCGCAGCCCCGCTGGCCCCCTGAACTGCGCCGTCGGGTTGGCGCGGCCGGGAGCAGTTCCTGTCCCCTGCCCGGCGCGGGGGAGACGTGAGCGTGCACACGTACACACACAGCAGGGGCAGCCGCGCTCCGAGCGGCGCCCAACTTTCTCTGCGCTTCCGCGGACCGGGGTGGAAAGCAGCCGGGGGCGGGGGGGTCGAACGGGAAGGGACAAGAGATGGAGAGCGGAGAGCGTTTCCCCGGATTTGGCTTTTTTGTTGTTTCCCCCACTTCCATCCATGAGTGGAGAGTGAAGGGATCCCGGAGCGGGGCGGCGAGTAGCGCTTTGGGAAAACGCAAGAGTGTGTTTGGAGACGCGTAAAGTTGCCTTTCGAGCTCCGGCCTCCCGGGCACGCGCTGCTCCGCGGCGGGCTGACTCCGGGCTGCCGCGGACCTCCCCGCCACCCTCCTGGAAATGATGCGAGTCCCGACTGTCACCTGGATCCCTGCAGCCCAGCCTGGAGTCCTTCAGGATGGGGGGCGAGAAGGGGGGCGCTGAGAAACGGCACCCCCCGCGCTGCACGGCCACCGGAGCGGAAAGACAGGCGGTTGCTCAGGCAAAATACTCTATCTAGTGCTTCCGCTCCCATCCTCAGTCCTGAGGGTGTATTCCTTTATTATTTGATGCTAAGCGTCTCCAGGCTAGGAATTCCCATGTGGGCCAGGAAAACTCTCCAATCTACCAAGACCTCGTGGCTGGGAATCTCGCTGAATTCCAAACGGTGGGAAGAGGAAACTCTCCCAGCCCGCTGCGGGTGTGATGCGAGCCAGGGGCCCGCGGGACGCTGTCCCGGCGCAGACCTCTCCAGCCGCGAGATCCGCGCTTCCGTTTTGAAGGCGGTTCGGCCATTGCCCGGGAGCACCCGCACACGCGCGCGCACCGCCAGCCGCGCTCACACTCACACGCGCACACACTCACACACGCACGCAAACGCGCGGCCGCCGCCAGGTCCGCAACTTTGTGGGGCGCTTCGGGCGGCGCCTCCTGGAGTAGTTGGGCGCAGGCCCCGCCTCCCGGCCGTGTTGTCAAACGGGCCGGGGTCTCGGATTGGTCCAGCCGCCGGGACAACACCTGCTCGACTCCTTCATTCAAGTGACACCAGAGCTTCCAGGGATATTTGAGGCACCATCCCTGCCACTGTCGGGCACTCGCGGCGCTGGTAACGGCCTGGTCACATGCTCTCCGGAAAGCTACGGGAGGGCGCTGGGTAACCTCTATCCGAGCCGCGGCCGCGAGGAGGAGGGAAAAGGCGAACAAGGAGGAAGAGTGGGAGGAGGAGGGGAAGCGGCGGAGGAGGAAGAGGAGGAGGAGGAGGAGGAGGGAGCACAAAGGATCCGGGTCTCCCGGCGGGAGACTGACGCCGAGAATCATGTGTGCTGAGCGGCTGGGCCAGTTCATGACCCTGGCTTTGGTGTTGGCCACCTTCGACCCGGCGCGGGGCACCGACGCCACCAACCCACCCGAGGGTCCCCAAGACAGGGGCTCCCAGCAGAAAGGCCGCCTGTCCCTGCAGAACACAGGTAAGTGCGTGCGCCCCTGAGGCCGGGAGCCGCGGGAGGGGACGCCGTGCGCCCACGGGCGTTTCTCCGGGAGCCGGACGCCCACCCCGAACCCCGCAAACTCTCGGGGCGGCGCGGGACACGCAGGGAAGCGCGAGGAGAGGCGAGGTCCGCCGGGTTCGGAGCGCCCGGAATCCGCACGTGCCGGCCGGGTGATGAAATGGCCGGAGCGGGACTTGTTGCTGTCCTCCCCAGGGTCGAGGGGAATGAGGCAGCGCCTGACGCGGCCAGCGCCAGCCCCCGCCCCCGAGTCCTGGGTCCGGTGCCCAGCCGCTTCATCCCGGCCGGCCCGCAGGAGCCACGGAGGGTTCCGGAGCCGGGTGCACCCTGCACCCTGACGACTTCTCCCCCAAGCGGCCGGCCTCGGCGGAACCGCCTCTTCCTCCTCCTCAAAAGATGCTAGACTCCCCGAACTTTGCCGGCGAGACCCATTGCATCGCGAACTTTCCCCCCGGGGAGGGGCGTTGCTTTGAGAGGGGAGGTGGGGGTGATGCAGAGCGTACCTCCGGAGTGCGGCCCCATCCCCTGCTCCTGGCCAGGTCAGCAGGCGAAGAAATGGTGACACGACCCGAACCGTGCGCCGCCCCTGCTCCCCCGGTTCCGGGCTCACTACCCCGCTGCAGAGCAGCGCCCAGCGCGCAGGGCACGGGGCTGGCCCTTTTCCCAGCTCTGGGGAGAGAAAGAAAATCCGCCTGCAGCGCCTTCCCTCCGCTCCCCCCAACCCCCCGCCACCAATGGGGGGGTGCGATCGCGGCGGCGTGCGCTCCCCGCACGAGCAGGATTGCAGGCTTGCCCACTGGGGACGCCCCGAGTGAGAGCGGCGCGGTCCTGCCCTGGCGCCTGGGTCGTGAGGAGGGTCCCCCGGGGCCTCTCACCTCCACACGCTGGGTCCCTCGCCCACCCACCCCACCCCCCTTCTCCGGAGCTTTCTCTGAGAACTGAACGTGACCTGGGTAGTTGGTGACCCTCAGCAATACACGCCCCTCATTCTCTCGCTAGATTTAATCTGAATGCGGATTATCTGCATCGACCCCACCCTTCTTCCAAAATATACTTTTCTGATGTAATTTTGCGGTTGGTTTGAATCAGAGACTTGGGGAGGGGGAAGGGAGGGAAGAGAGGCTTTGTGCGAGGCAGCCTGACAGTTAACTCCCTCAGTCTGTCCTTTCAGAGAGGCCAGTTAGGTCCACGTTCTGAGAAGGACTTTGGGCTCTCGGGCTGCCGGAATCCTATGGGCTGAAGTGACATCTCACACCAGATCTTCATTAAAAGGAGACCCTGACTGCCTGGTTTCTGTGGGCTAGCCCCTTTCTGACCCCTGAGCCAGCGGCAGGCCCTGGCTTCCATAGCCTGACATTTTTAATGCGGATGGCTTGGAGGCTCTGCCTTAGTAGGAATTTTGTTTTGATTTTTAGGTGTTGAATCATAAAGCTAAATTGAAACTGCTTTGGGACACTGTCATTTGGGGGTCAGGAAGGAAATGGCTGTGATCTAATGACAGCGACTTCTACAGACTCTTCAGAGAACGGTACTTCATTGATGAAGTACAATCTTCAGTTTAAAATCTTATTTTTGTCTGTGGGCTTCAAAAGCTGAACTGTTTCCTGCTCTCAGACTTAGTATTCCCACAAATACTAAAGAAAGTGGTAAAGATGAAAAGAAAGAATGCTCAGACCTAACTTATGATTATGATTTTTGTAATTTTTTGGCTAATTTTTACAAATATTTACAAACATAGATAATTGCCATGTGTAGATTAAATGAAATTTTCTTTTCCAGGCTTCCTGTGTCCTGAAATAGACATTCCTCTTTTGTTAATTTGATTTTTTTTTTTTTTTTAGTTATTACTAACTTTTATTTCAGATGACTTCCCTGCATTTCCCAGCATGAGTTAGAGTTCTGTATATATCTGTACTTCATTTTCCTTTTAGCGGAGATTCAGCACTGCTTGGTCAACGCTGGCGATGTGGGGTGTGGCGTGTTTGAATGTTTCGAGAACAACTCTTGTGAGATTCGGGGCTTACATGGGATTTGCATGACTTTTCTACACAACGCTGGAAAATTTGATGCCCAGGTAAAAACCGTCCAGAGCATGAAGAATGTTTGGGATGAGTGTAGCGTGATTGCAGTGTCCACTGGAAAGCCTTGCTAAAAGATTTCCTTAGCTGTTTCTGGTGTGTGTTAGTGCTTGTGAGGAACATTCTAGGCTTTCCCAGGATGCCAGGGTCTCCCCACTGCACTGTTCAGAGAGCACTCAGGAGTTGTCATGTAAGTTAAATCCCTCTACACTCTTCAGCTGTGTCTACACAGGCAGAGTGGGCTGGAGATCAATGGCATAATAAGTGATAAACACCTTGCAGCGGGGCTTGGTGGCTCAGCCTGTAATCCCACGCCTTTGGGAGGCTGAGGTGAGTGGATTGCCTGAGCCCACGGGTTCGAGACCTGCCTGGGCAGGTGAGACCTCAGCTCTACAATAAATCAAAAAATTAGCTGGGCGTGGTAGCATGCACCTGTAGTTCCAGCTACTTGGAAGTCTGAGGCGGAAGGATCACCAGAGCCCAGCAGGTCGAGGCTGCGGTGACCGGGAGAGGCCACTGCACTCCAGTCTAGGCGACAGAGTGAGACTCCAACTCAAAAAAAAAACCACCTTGCAAAGGAACACAGCAGCCAAAGCCCATTGTGTTAGCAACAATAGACTGAGGGGGAAAGGGCACTGTCCCCCCCAATTGTACATTTCAAAAGCTATCTTTGAAAGACTAAATGAGACAGAAAATGTGTTGAAATTCATCATCATCATCTCAGTGTGTGTGTGTGTGTGTGTGTGTGTGTGTGTGTGTGTGTGTGTGTGTGTGTCCAGGCAACCTGAACAATTTGGAGGCCTCCAAAAGAGCAGACTTTTATTCCTCCTAAGCAGCAGACCCTGAAAAACCAAACCCCTGAATGCGTCCCGCAATTCCACACTTTTCTTTTGCTCTATATAATAAATATAGTCAGGGCCTGACCCACTTCAGTTATCCCAGGGTCCCAAGGGTAACACCGGGTTGCTGCTCGGGGCAGGGCAGGAACAACACACCAAGCAACCTTCTGGCTTCAGTGCCAACAACCCAGATCCGTCTTGATGTGGCTCGTGCATGAAGCTCACCTTCTTAGCTCCTCCCTGGCCCCAGATGCCCTGTGGAAACCCCCTGGTATTAGAGCTCCCAGATTTCCTCTCCCACCTCACTGGAGAGTGAGGACAGTGTTTGGAGGAGGCCAGCGGCTTAGGTGTGATTTATGAATGCCCCCAGTTCCCAGCCACCGACATCCTGTAGAACCTGGTGAGGGAGGTAGAGCCTGGGAACCAGGCTGGGGATGCGACAGAGCAGGCAGCCGGGACTGCAGAGGATGTGTGGTGGCAAGAGGGGAAACAGACCGGGGAAGGGAAGAGGCAGGACTTTGAACTCCTTGAGGCTCCTGAATAAAGCATCACTCTGGATTAACTGGCATTAGGAAACATACTAGGAAATCCGGAGGAAAGATGTGTATTTAAGGGCAATCCCACAGGATGTCAGGGAAGAATACCAAGAACAGATTGCTGCAGCCTTCGCCTAAATTCATCTTCCTTTTCTTTCTCAACCGACAGGGACATGTTCTCAAGTTAGAGACATCCTTTCAAGTCCATGCTCAGCCCATAACGACTTAATAAACTGGCACACCCTGCCTGCCACTCCATTTGGCTCTGGCCAGAAAGTCAAGGGAGAGGGGGCCACATGGCTCTTCAGAGACCAGACACTGCCTGTAGACATTTCAATTGCTGCCAAAGGGAGACCCAAAATAAATGTGCTGGCCAGCTTCCCGCTCCAACCTAAACCCATTTACTTTCTCAACTCAGTGACTTCCGGGCCTGTCTAAAAGCAGAGGGGTGACCTCTCTGACTCCAGCCTGTTTCTATAGTAATGCGGTGCGGGGATTCCTGGGTCGGCATCCCACAGTGCTTCTCGAGAGGTTGATAAGGGAGCTCCACACCCCCAACAGCTGTCTCCTTTCTAGGATAAGCACAATCCAGCCGGGTTGCCAGGAAAGAGCACTGCAAGCCAGATGTATGCCTGGCCGCCCAGCCACTCAGAGCAGGCGGCGTGGGGGAGGGGCTGTGGGTTGGGCAGTTCAGGCTCCAGATGCTGCCCGGCAGAGTGCCAGGCAGGCCTTTTAGAGGCAATAATCCCAACCATTTAAAGGAGTAGAGGAAAAGCATGCTCCTCCTTGAGAGGAGGAGACAAGGGTATGTTTTGGGGGCAGTGGGAAGCACTGAGGCAGAGAGAGAAGCACAGTGAACAATCAAGCTTGGTGTTGCTCCTGGAATTAAGGGAAGAAGGAAAGGAAAGATTTGAAGCTGGGCACAGTGGCTTGTGCCTGTAATCCCAGCACTTTGGGAGGCCAAGGCTGGAGGATTACTTGAGCCCAGGAGTTAAAGACCACCCCTGCCCCAGCAGCACCACTTAGATCACCTTCCACTTGGTTATAAGGTTCTAGAGATCTCGCAACGCTTGGTACGGTGTCAGAACGTAACATAACGATACCTTGTATCTACAAAAAAAAAAAAATCAAAAAATTAACTGGATGTGGTGGTATATACCTGTAGTACCAGCTGCTCAGGAGGCTGAAGCGGGAGAATCTCCTGAGCCCAGAAGGTCTAGGCTACAATGAGCCATGATCATGCCACTGCACTCCAACCTGGGCAAAAGAGTGCCCAGAAAAAAGAAAAGAAAAGGAAAAGTGTGATTTGGACAAACAGCACCTTTTCTCACTGAGAACCACAAAGGAGTTAGAGATTTGTGTCTGGCCAAATCCCCCTTGTGTTCCAGAAAGTTGCCACCCAAGGGCCAGCACGGGGCTGCCTAGAGGACAGAGGACCATAGAAGCCTAGTAGGAGGGACCCTCAAAGAGTAGCTGGGAAGGGAGAAGGTTTGTCTGCAGAACTAACATGCTTTATGGCCAAATGCCAGAAGTGTTGTGCCACTCTGGACATGCCCTGACAAGACATCACCTGTCCCCTGGGAGGACGTCCCTCTGAGGTGGGGCCTTGAGTTTCTTCAGTCAGAAAAATCCCCATGCAAGCCCCAGAAGTGCTACGATATGCATGCCTGTAATAAGGACTCCTGTTCCCTGCCTGCTCTCCCTTCTCCGCTCTCCCGGCCTTTCCCAGGGCAAATCATTCATCAAGGATGCCTTGAGGTGCAAGGCCCATGCCCTGAGGCACAGGTTCGGCTGCATAAGCCGGAAGTGCCCGGCCATCCGGGACATGGTGTTCCAGCTGCAGCGGGAATGCTACCTCAAGCACGACCTGTGCGCCGCTGCCCAGGAGAACACCCGGGTCATCGTGGAGATGATCCACTTCAAGGACCTACTGCTGCATGAGTGAGTACTGCCCCATGGGGTCCTGGGGAGACGGGCCATCCAGCAGGGACAGTGGTGGGCTGGGGAGGGGAGTTGCGTTCAGTTGGAGTGGCTTGCTCCTGGAAGTGGGGAGACCCATCTATCGCTGGAGAAGGTTGTGGTTTACCTGGAAAGTCCCACTGAACAGGAAGGAAACCACAACATTACTTTGCTTTCGGTGAGAGCTGCTTGCAGAACACTACCACCAATCGTCTATTCTGACACCGTACCAAGAGTTGCAAGATCTCTAGAACCTTATAACCAAGTGGAAGGTGACGGGAAGGGCTCTTGCCCTCCGTGACCTAAGTGGTGCTGCTGGGGCAGGGGTGGCCTGTTTAGGGAGGGGAGAAGTTTGTAGCACACTGAGGAGCATGAGTTCATAACATGACACTGTTTTGGCCCAGTGAGTCACCAACAGTGCCATCAAAACCAATGGTGCCACAAACTGGCAGTGATCTGCACAGACGGCTTAGCTGGTGGCTTTCTCTCTGTCCTGTGTCTCTGATGAAAGAGCCGTCGTAATCTCCAGGGGCTGCTGACATGCCCCTCTGTTGGAGCAACTGTGGACTAGAAGGGTCCTTTCCTGCTGGCTTTCAAAAAGGAAGAGAGCGAGAGAAAGAATTCCATCATCAGCCTCAAAATCACAAAAAACAGAAATGGGAAACTGCTTTACTACACGTGAACTGTGCAGATTCAGAAACACACTCTGTCTTCCCCTTAGTCAAGAACCCACTAGTTCTCTGAATACCCGAGTCGCTGTGCCAGTGCCCTAGATGGCAGACAGCTAATAACACTTACTGAACATTTACTAGGCTGAGTGCTTCCTGTGAACTTTTCACTTGACCCTCACAACAGCCTTGAGAGTCAGGGGCCCTCATCATCTCCTTTTACAGATGGGAAAACTGAGACTCACTGAAAGGAAGGTCACATGGTGAGTGAGGGACACAGCCAGGTTTGGGACCCGGGCAGCCTGAGCCTGGCTCCAGAACCCACACTCTTAAATGCCAAAAGCCAAGAGCCTCGATGTTTTTCTTGCTTCCATAAGATTTCTGTTCCCTGAGAACACCTTCTCTAATATATTAACGCCCTCCCAGAGAAAGTGTAAAACAAATGTCAAAAAGTTCAGCCCTTTCCCTATTCAACCCAAAGATGCTCGCCGCTAGTGCCTGAGGCTGCAGCGTTTACCATGAAATAAATTTATAAAAAAAAAAAAGAAGAATCACAAAATATAGTAATTCTTTTTTTAGTAGTTCTCATTAGGATTAGAGACAAGTCCTGTTCAGAAATAACTCCAAGAACCGTTTTTATATTTTATTTTCACATTGAAAACCAATTAGATTTGCTTCAGCCTTAAAGAGCATGTATATGTAAAACTAAATGACCATGACAGCAAAATGTACTTTTTTTCCTAACTGGTAGCAGGTTAATCAGCTAGACACTTTTATGCCAAAGAGAAGAAATGAGAACTTACTTGTTTGAGGATCTCATATTTAGTGATAAACCCAGGACACCTCATTCTTAAAAAATATTCTAACTATAGGATCCGAAATTTTGCAGCATGGTAAAGCGTGTCAGTACATAACTGCTCCTAACAGAGGGGCATGGTCAGCAGCCCCTGGTGATTGTGGTGACTCCTTCATCAGAGACACAGGACAGAGAGAAAGCCACCAGCTAAGCTGTCCATGCAGATCATGGCCAGTTTGTGGCACCGTTGGTGACTCATTGGGTCAGATCAGTGTAATGTTATGAACTCATGCTCCTCAGTGTGCCACAGGCTTCTCCCAGCCACATCCCTAAACAGGCCACCCCTGCCTCAGCAGCACCACTTAGATCACGGAGGACAACAGCCCATCCTGTCATCTTCCACTTGGTTATAAGGTTCTAGGGATCTTGCAACACCTGGTACAGTGTCAGAATAGATGATTGGTGGTGGAATTCTGCAAGCAGCTCTCGCCAAAAGCAAAGTTATGTTGCATTTTTCCTGAGTCACGCCAAGGCCTTGTAAAATATTTTTTATTTTCCCAAATACCTGTAAAGAAAAAATAGCAGCAGCAACAGCAGCATCAATAATAACAATAGCTATCTTTTTTTAATATGTGGGCCTTGGCCAGGGGTTTTACCCAGGGTCATCTCATTGATCTTTCCCAACAATGCTACAAGACAGAAATTACTGTCCCCGTTTTGCCGAGGTAGAACGTAGAACTAAGAGGTTAAGGAACTTGCACCGAGGTTGGATATTCATGCCTTCCAGTTTTGGAATTGCTGGTTTGTGTGACTTAAGCCAGTTGTCAGGAATAGAAGTCAAGCCTCCCTGCTCCTGGCCTCTCTTCTCCTTGCTAGACCTGGCCTCTCTTCTCCTTGCTAGACCTGCAAAGGACTCACTGGTCCTCAGATGTACCAGGTGGGTTTTTATCTTTTTCTCAAATACATCTTCATCACACTAGGAGAGCACTATGAAATTCTCTTCCTTGAAGCATCCCCTAGAAGAGGCAACCACCCATGACTGGGAAGCTCCAGGAAGGTCATTTGTCCCTACCCCCTGTCGCCCTCTAGAGATGGTTGACCACAAGAATGGGTGATGGGGTACTAGTTTATAGTCTACAATACATGCCTGGAGTACAGGAATGCTTTGTTTTTTGGCGAAAAGTCTTCTCTGGGGAAACTGGAGGTGTTGAAGCTGTTTGTACCCCTACCCGATGCTTGAATTTAAGAAGGGATCAAGCACTGTGGCTTTCTAGTGTCTCCTTCATGGAAACATGGCCCGTGGGGACAGGGGACCCTCACCCCATTCAGAATGAGCATACAGCCCCCACCCAGCCTGTGGGTACCCCGATTAGAAGCCTGGGCTCCTTTAAGGACACTCACCATGGTTGCACATGGTTGCTCTTGCTTCCTGCTAAGCCAGCTCCTCTAAGCACCGGGTCCCCCCTAACTCCAGCTCCTCCAAAATCCCCATGACTTCCCTTCTGAAGCCCCGACAAGGCACTGCACCAACTTGTGCTTCAAGCTGAATTGCCTGAGTTTGGGGTTTTTTTTCCAACCACCCTAACCACCTCCTAAAGGATCCTGTCAGTCCTCAACTATCGAGAATGCCATTTCAGAATGTGTGGCACTGGTTACAAACAAGAAAATGAGAACTGAATTTGCTTTTAACTTTAGAGAAGAGGGAATCACAGTTGCCCCGGAATCTACACCACCCCCATTCTTCAACCCAATGCCCATCTACCCCAAAACAGTCATGTCCCCCTCTACTCCCCTCACCCCTTCCTGCCTGCTCAACTTTCTCCATAGCCTCTGCCCTCAGCTGTAGCCAGCCTGCCTTGGCCCCTTGCACGCCCTGTCACTGGGTGCTGGCAGCCTCCAGGCACCTCCCCCTCCAAGTATTTTTTAAAATCCCTTAGCCTTGCTGACACCCAGTTGAACGAGCTGGGCTTTGTCACTAGACACGGGCTGAGTTTGTAGCCTGGTAAGGCACCACACCAGCTCGGAACACAGCTTAGATTAACCTGGTTGGGCACACACACCCCTCCTCAAGCTTCACAGCTTTCTCCTTGGGAGAAGGACCAAGGGCACAGGAGAGCAAGAGTGTGGGTGCATCCAGCCTTCTGGGATCCGGATCCACCTTAGGGTTCTGAGGGCTCATGGGCAGACAGAACCCCTGGCTGGGGAAGCAAAGGAGAGGCCGGGTATACATCCCCAAGACAGCCCGCCCCTTATCCAGGGAAAGCAGCCTGGAAATGAGCATCATGCAGTAGCCCAGAAAGACAGGTACACACCCCTGCCATGTGCTGCTCTAGCCCCAAAGGAGGGCAGGCACGTTGGGTGCTAAAATCCTGTTGTCACTTTAGCAGATATGCTCAGTGAACTTGAGCTCACCAAGACGGTTCCTAGTTTGCAAAGGATGCAAAGGATGGACGGAAACAAGCATGCATTGAGCATTTCTCTCATGTTGCATGTGCATGGGTGGCCTCGGGGTAGCCCAAGGAGACAGTGTTATCGCTGTCTTGGTGGCTATCAGGAGCCTGCCTTTCAGGGTTTACCATGCGCAGACTCTCTGACTCCAAAGGCATCAAGCAGGCCCTAAAAAGCAGTCTGATTGCTATCAGCCAGAACATTCCTTCTCTCTGCTCTCAGTCTCAGCCCCAGGCTCTCCTGATCCAGAAGCTTCCAAAAGCCACCCTCTGCCCCTACATCCCCCTTCTCAGTTTTTACATCCATGAAGCGAGGGCACCTCACTCAATCGCAACTATTTCACTGAAATGGCAGTAAACTACTTCACAAGACTTAAAACACAATCCGCTCTTCCTGCATAGCAACAAGTACCACCATGCAAAGAAAAGGCTCTGTGGGCTAGTGCTTTGCAAGTGGCCCAGACTTAGGGAGGAAAAATTGGTTTGCTCCTTGTTACAAACGAGATCGCATTCCAAAGCAACTTCCCTGCTCAAGACAATGGCCCAAAGCTGTGTCAGAAAGTTTGCCAGCCAGCACAGGACTGCTTAGGATGCTGGTTAGCCCAGGAAGCAACCCCCCCCCTAGGGATTTCTAAAGGCCAATGAGAGGTGAGAAAGGCTCAGTAAGTGGGCATGAGAGCCCAGAGCCAGGGCATCCTTACCGGATAGGCCAATACATGTAAACAGCAGGTGTACGCTGCTCCTTGCCTTCTGCACACCTTGTCCACCCCCGGGACCCCTCTGACAGCTTTCCTAAAGAACAGCCCAAGGCAGCTGGAATCGCCTGAGCAACTGACTCTGCCTTGCAGAACTGGGCATGTATGTTTCACACAGAGTGCAAACACACGGGTCCTAGACCACCAGCCTTCACCTCCAATTCTGGGGAAGCCCAGATGGAGTGAATGATGATGCCTAGACAGCCATTCCCAACCGCTCTGTGGGAATTTTTGCCCCTGGGAGGGGGTCGTCCTTCTACCCCTCTCCACCTATTTCAGACTCTGTATCTGGAGATACAGAAGGAATGCATTTCGCAGCTTCCAAAAATACCCTTCTTCATCCTGAGCCTACACCAAGGGCAAACACAGACGTGGCGAGATAGCTTCTTGGGAAAGCAAGGGCCTTGCTGACGCAACATGTGTGGGAACGATGGGGGCCCACCCGAGCCTTTCAGGAGCTCCTTTCCTGGCCCTAAACCTTCTTCCTCCTACCAAAAGACTCCTCTCCTTGGGACTGAAGAGCCTGCACCACTTGCCTAAGTACTGTTCTACTTGCCCCAAGATCCACCTCTACTCCAGCTAAAATTCACCTAGCCAGTGTAGCCTGAGTGAGCCCAGAGCAGTCCCACCCTCCTCTCCATTCATAAGCTGCCCTGCCAGGGATCCTCCCCTTCCCAGAGGGTCTTCCTCTTGGTGTCTTAACCTCCACACCTGTGATTTGTCACTGCCCCTTTTTCCTGTGGCGGGCTCTGCCTCTACAACTCCGGGAGCCTTCTTGTTCCTGGAATCGTGGAGCCTGGTACACAGTGGCCTTCTAGTAAATGCTGGTTGGAAATATGGGCAAAGGCTGGAAGTTGTTCCAGAAAGACCTTTTCCCAGACTCAACACAAGCCTAGCCTTGGCCATGCGCCTCTTTCACGCTGCCCGCGGTGCTTTCTGGACTCACTCCGTTCCCGGCCTCTCTCTTTGCATTCCATCTCTAGACCCTACGTGGACCTCGTGAACCTGCTGCTGACCTGTGGGGAGGAGGTGAAGGAGGCCATCACCCACAGCGTTCAGGCTCAGTGCGAACAGAACTGGGGAAGCCTCTGCTCCATCCTGAGCTTCTGCACCTCAGCCATCCAGAGGCCTCCCACGGTACCCCCCGAGCGCCAGCCCCGGGTGGACAGAGCCAGGCTCTCCAGGGCCCACCATGGGGAAGCGGGCCTTCACCTCTCAGAGCCCAGCAGCAGGGAGGCCGTCCGAGGCGCCAGGGGAGAGCGAGGCAGCAAGAGCCACCCAAATGCCCATGCCCGGGGCAGAGCCTGGGGCCTTGGGGCCCAGGGACCTTCTGGAAGCAGTGAGTGGGAGGATGAACAGGCTGAGTATTCTGATATCCGCAGGTGAAACGAAGGGCCCAGCTACGAAATCTTTCCTCCATGCCGTCCATTTTCTTATCTATGGACATTCCAAAACATTTACCATTAAAGAGGGGGGATGTCACAGGCAGGATTTTGTGGGGACTGTGGACTTGGTGAAGGTGCACGTTGGTAGGATTGACAGATGAGACGGAGACTCCTAGGGCGGCAAGGTCCCGCGGCACCCGGTGACTTCTGCACTCACGCGTGCCCAGGGAGCGCCCATAGCTTCCTTGTACCTTCGTCTTCTTTCCATCCGTGGAGCCAGTAGGTGTCGGCTGCTCTGTCAGCGGGAGGTGAGCCCAGGATGATGGGGCAAGGGCCCACCTGGGCTGGACCACTCAGGCTGTGCTGGGCCCCGCCCGCAGCTTCTGGTGCAGCAGCGTCTAGTGCTGCGGGGCGGCTGGATTCCAGGACAGGAGTGAATGTAAAAATAAATAATCGCCAGGAATGCAGGAGAAGGACGGAGAGGAGACAGGCCGAGGGGGTGCTTGGTGGCAAACCGAAATGCAGTTTCTCACATGGGACCTTGCAGTTCAGAGCTGCTTGCGGGGTGGGGGTAGGAGTGTCCTTGCTACGTGTAATTTCTGAGCCATTGTTCAGTCTGGGGGCGGGGCCCTGTCCAAGGGAGTGGCCCCTGTGAGTTTATATTTTAACCACTGCTTCAAATCTCAATTTTACTTTTTTATTTATCCAGTTACATCTACCTATCTGTCATCTAAATAAATGGCTTTCAAACAAAGCAACTGGGTCATTAAAACCAGCTCAAAGGGGGTTTAAAAAAAAAAAAACAGCCTGTTCTTTGGGGCTCTTTATTTTTTAAGTTCTATTTATAAAGGAATCAAACAGCAATGTGGCCGTACATCTGACGGCCAAACATGGGCTTGTACCCACTTTGGGCAGACCTTATACCTGGAGCAAAATGCACACAGGAGGAGTACATTTGACAGATTTCCCTTAGAATTTTGTTATCTCACCTTGACCTTCAGCCAAGACTATAAGGCTCCTCCCAGTGATTCCATGAGGTTTGGAAACCTGGCTTTTCTGTGCTGGAGGGTGGGAAACAGGGAAGAGAATGATGGCTACTTGGTAATTCCCATCAGGAAAAGCTGACCTTTTGCATAAGTGGAGGCGACTTCTGAAAATCTCTAAGGGATAGGATTTTCCAGATCCTAATTGGAAATTTAGCAACAAGGAGAGGAGTCAAAGTGAACCAAAGAAAGAACCAAAAATGCAAGGCAGGGAGGGAGAGGATTATCATAGAAAGTCTCAGCAGCAGATTGGGTGATTTAAAGCGTCTCATAGCTAGGCCCTTTCTCCCTAATAAGCTACCAAAGTAAAGTTTGTCCTTTCTCGAAGCCAGTCCTCAAGAAGAAGCCAATATTGTGAGGCATGGATGGGTGTTCTGGGCTGGGCCCTTCTAGAACAGGGGTCATCAAACGTTTTGTGTAAAGAGCTGGATAGTAAATTAAGTACATTCAGTTTGGCGGGCCATGAGATCTCTGTCGAAACGACTCAACTGCCGCCGTTCCACAAAAGCAGCCATAGACAACACACAAACCGAGGGGCTTGGCTCCATTCCAGTGAGATTTTAACAGGCACCCAGCTGGATTCGGCTTCTGGGCCACCGAGTGAACCAAAAAGCCTGCATCCTCCCTTATCTCAGCTCCTTCGGGCTCCCTCGAAGCTGTCTGAGGCCAGCGACCAAGATGCTAAAAATGACTCCTTCCAGGGAATACCTTTACCCAAAACACAGCTGGTGTTTACAGTCCCAAAATTTCATGGTCCGTGTTAGAAGAAAAAAAAAAATCCTTGGCAGGGTAAGAGGGACAGCCCTGGGGAAAGATGCTTCCATCTAGAGCTGGGGCCGTTCTGGTGCACTTAATCCTGCTCTGCCCCGCCCCGGACGGGTGGGGGAGGACCGGGGTGTCAGGCTCTGCCATGGGAACCGAGTGTCAACCATAGCTGCCTCCTTCCGAGAGCCACCGCAGCACGTCGCCTGTTTCACTCACATCACTCAAAAGCTAAAACAGAAATGTTCTCCCGCGTTGCTGAGTCAGCTCTTCGTGTGTCCGCCAGCTCCTGGACTGCATGTGTGAAAGACATCACTTTTCTATTTTCCTCAGCGTCAGTGTTTTATGTGTTTGCCTCCCGATGTCCTCTGTGTGTTGGTTCTTTGTGTTTGTCATGAGTATTTATTAGCTCTGTCTTTCCACTCCCCACCCCCAGGCATAAAATTGCTCACTGTGTTCACGGGAACCCATTTGCTGATGTTTTTTGTATATTTTTCGGGCTGCTGGTTGACTCTTCTCAGAAGTAGGTAGATATAATTCATTCTGCTCCCTACTGTTACTGGACACACACAGTAGAGGTGTTGCTCAGAGTCTTCTGCTCAGAAACCGAGGAAAACACTACTGGGGGCATTTGCACAACCTGGAACATAAGCAGTCATTAAAAATAGACCCTCTTCTTGGGCGTTATGCTTCATACAAATTTACTCTCAAGCCTTCCGTTGAGGAAGGATATGGATCTCCAAATAAAGATCCGATGTTTATTTTGAGCTTCATGTCTTAACAAGATGATCTGAACACCTCTCCTTTGTATCAATAAATAGCCCTGCTATTCTGGAATGAGAGGACCAAGTCAAGTAAGATGCTGACACCTAAAACTAAATAAAAGTGAAGTCATACTTCACATACACACACGCACACACACACGAAGGAAGAAATTTAAACACCAACCAAGTAAAAGCCTTCGCTAAAACAACATGGGAAAACAATACTCCCAAAGGCCATTTTCTAAGGAAGAACAAGTCTGTCTGACCTCGGAACTGACACCACGTGAGCTTGTAAGTGCAGTGTCTGTTTCTGTTATGGATTTGGGCAATGGGACCCCTATATTGACACATGTTTTATTTTTCTTCAAGCATTAATAAAGATTTTGAGTAAACATCCTCCACCTGAGTAGCGTCATTGTCGAGGGCTGCTGACAGCCTGTGCACAGGAGTAGCTGTGGGTGAGGGGGCTTCTGAGTCAGAAGAATCCTGTGCTTCTGTGGATGTCCAGCCTACGGGGAGGGAGACCAGATGAAGAAGGCCACCCTGGGCCGCTCCTCCAGCAGAGGGCCTCCATCCACATGCCTGCCTGAGCCACCCAGATAAACAGGGTGAATTTCACACAGCTGGCCTGGAGGCGCCACCTCGTCTCCCCAGGCTCACTCCCGTCTCACCTTTGGTCTCCCCTGTGGCCTGGCCACCCTTCTGTCACACTGAGCCTGCAGCAGATGCCACCAGTTCGATGGCTCAGCATCCTGGCACATGCAGGGGCGCTCGCCGTCTCCTCAGCAGATCTTGCCCACGGCAGCAGATCAGAGCCAGGACCCCGACTATGGATTTACACCACATCATGTACCTACTGTGTGCCAGCACCATGCCAGACATTTTACGGGCACTACCTCAGCCTCAGTACATATCACAAATAGGGCATTATCCCCACTTTACAGGAAGAAAAGTGCAGAATCATCCCAAACTGTGTGGCTAGTATGCCCAGTGGAGGGGTCTGAACTCAAACCCCACTCAAGACTCCAAAGCTCACATGCCGTCCCCCATGGCAGGCTTAGAATCTCCACTTACAGATTATTTTGAATTTAAATCAATCAGTATTATTCCTACCTAACACCAGGCTTAGGGAAAGAATAATTATACTCTTGTATTTATAGTCCCAGGCCTCGGAGGAGCTCTGCTTCAGAACAAAAAGGAAAATTGATGCTCTCACTTTTGCCCTCTGCAAAGTCTCAAGTTTTGGTTCAGATAAAGGAAAAGCAGGAAAATCATAGCACTTCATGGCTGTTCTCTGCATGTCTTTCAAAGATTCTTCTCTTAGCTGGGTGTGGTGGCTCACACCACTTGCATTACAGCCTGAGTGACAGAGTGAGACCCTGTCTTTATTAATTTGTGTGTGTGTGTGTGTGTGTGTGTGTGTGTGTGTGTGTGTGTGTGTGTGTCTCAAAAGGAAAAAAAAAGTGGAAAGCATTCTGGGAGCAACTGGCTGAACATGCAGTTAGAGCTTTCCTCAGTAAACTCTCATCCCACTGCCAGTCCAGTCTGAGAAGCCAGGCTCCTCCATACTCCTCGCCACTGTAAACCATCCTGTGTGACAGTTGTCAATTCTTGGGGACCCATTATGTGCCCCGTGCTTATTCCTGAGCCCATTTTACAGTTGAGGAAACTGAGGCTCAGAGACAGCTTAATCTGCCTAGAGCTTGTCACAAGGCCAGCTCGCTCTAGAGGCGGCAGGCAGATATACCCCAGGGCTTACTCCTTCCTTGCCTTCTCTCACCCCAGTGTGGACACAGGGCTTAAATGCGCCCAAGTGAGTCCAGAAATGCAGCTGCCTCCCCCAACCCTCAGGGCTGTTCCAACCCAACTGTTCTGGAATTATTAGGCTGTGGGAGGAAGAAGGGAGAGGGCTTCCAAATATGCTGGTATTTAAGCAGAGTTTCGAAAGGAAGCTGGAGCTCTGCACCCCAAAATCTGGAGACAGAAATCCAAATTTGCTCTAAAGTCAACAAAAAAGAAAGCCCCCCACTGAGGAGGGGACAAGCTCTGGCCAGAGAACAGTTTTTATGGGAATTATTTTTTTGTGGGTGGAGAAGAGAAGAAAAGAGCAATAGAAGCCTTGGACCAGGAGTCCCGCATTGCTGCTAGCATAAGCAGTTCAGTTTTTATCACTCCCTAAAAAGAACAACAACAACAAAAGTCACTCCCCGAAGAGAACAGAGAAAAAAGTCACAGAGCCAACCTCAGCTTATGCAAGGAACGGACTCCACCGGGACAAACCCAAGTCCCAGGGCTCTGTGGGGTCTGTAGCCACAGTGTAAGGTCAGGCCTGCCTGGGGGCTGAAACTTGGGAGAGGCAGGAAACGCTCCCCCAAGGAATTCTCAGAGGCGGGGCAGCTGTTCCCAGGTGCCCAAGAGTTGGTGATGGTGTTTCCATTAGGTCCTTTCCAGGAATCTGTATGGTTCTTAAGGTTAAGGGGGTGCCCGTGTGAAGAGTCACATGCTAAAGAGGACCGGACCACCTGCTTGTCCTCCAAGTCTTGCTAATACTCTGCAGAGGACCCCAGGCTCCAGCAAGGGCTTTGTTCAGGAAGAACCGTTAGTCCCTAGAATTTTGCCCCAGTTGATTATTACTATGTAACTACCCCCAAAACTAAGTAGGTAGAAAACAATTATTTTATTTTGCTCTCAATTTTGTGGATCAGAAATTTGGCAAGGGTTCAGTTGGGTGAGCAGACTCTTCACAAGGCATTGACTGGGGCAACCTGGGCTGCAGGGTCTGCTCCAAGGTGGCCTCTTCAAGATGGCGCCTGGGTGTGTGTGTGCGTGTGTTCTCTCTCTCTCTCTCTCTCTCTCTCTCTCTCTCTCTCTCTTTCTCCCCCTCCCCCTGCCTTCTTTCTCTCTCCCCTCCTTCTTTCTCCCCCTCTGCTTTCTCCTTTTCTCTCCCCTTCTCTCCCCCCCCTCTCCCTTCCCCCTCT